TAATGTTTTAATGACTTTTAATAGACTTTTCCTGACATGAGATGCATCTGCTCATGGCAGCATCAATTACTTCAAAGAGGATGATGGGCATCAAAGAAACTCGTTGTGGAGTTTTCTGTCAATGTGGCAAAGCTAGCCATTTGGGCAAGAAACTACTCTTGCCTGGTCTGTTTGACAGTATGCTGTATAAACTAGACATGCAGGACTCACAGGAAAATGACCACTAAACACAGCCAAAACTAGGTGGGGTGATCCTTCAGGTTCCTGCTTCACAGAAACTGAAAACATTCTACAAGACACAGAAGAAAGGGATGAACTTTGCTAATATAGATGGGACAGTCCTTCAAATTTCCTGCTTCACTGAAAACTCTGCTAGATGTTCAAGCCCAACAGGCCAAAGATGGATGCCCCAGTGTTACAGAAGGACTTTGGGTGACAGTCCAGGCAGCCAGATGTCTCTGTCATCTCCAGAGTTTGGGAAGTTGCTTGTAATGCATTTCCTGTTTACTCCAGTAATATTGTATACTCCTGGAGTATTCGATGGAATTGTAGACTGGATAATTATAATTATAGTTTTAATAATTGATAAATTAGATATGAAACTGTAGATTCACAAAGATAGGAAAAATGATAGTGTTTTCCATAATTTTGTGAAATACAAATAATCCAATAATACAAATAATATAAATATTGTAACTGTAATTTTGATTGATAACTGTTTTGTTTTGTAATTTTACTATGTTAAATTCAAGGAACAACATGCCTGCCGACCAATAACACCATGACCTAATGGCAATACTTAGATTAATAGAAATGGGTTAATTTAAATGTAAGAGCTGGTTAGTAATATGCCTGAACCATAGACCAATATTACTATTAATATTAATAGTATTGATATTAATATTAATACTATTAATATTAATTAATTAATAATTAATACTAATACTATTAATATTAAGCCTCAGTGGTTATTTAGAAAGTGGCAGGTAGGAGAGAAACATCCATTTACATTTTTTGTTTTGTTTTTTAAGATTTTATTTATTAATTATGTATACAACATTCTGCTTCCAT